GTGTGTGTGTGTGTGTGTGTGTGTGTGTGTGTGTGTGTGTGTGTGTGTGTTGAACAGATGGAAACTACAAAGCTGAACTGAGTATGAAGGATAACGTAGAGGGTCTTTGTCTGAAAGGTATGGCAATCATCATGGGGGATTTTAATCAACGTATAGATTAAGGTAATTAAATGGGAAAATGTAGCCTGGAGGAGGAGTTCACGGAATGTTTTTAGCATGGTTTCTTAGAACTGCACATTCTGGAGCTGGCCAAAAAGCAGGTTATACTAGACATAGTACAGTGCAATGATGGAGAATAAATTAATGACCTCACAGTGAAGGTGCTCTTGTGTAATTGTGATCACAAAATGCTTGAATTTGGCTTTCAGTTTGACGGAGAGAAGAGTGGTTTTAAGACTAGTATTTTCAACTTACATAAGAGTGATTACGAGGGCATGAAAGCACAGCTAGCTAAAGAGAACAGACAAATTAAGTTAAAGGATGGCTCAATAGAGACTGAGTAGTAGACATTTACAGAAATATTTTAATATATAAGAACAGACACATTTTGATGAGGAAGAAAGTTCTAAGGGGAGAATGTACCATCTGTGATTAAGTAAAAATGTTAAAGTCAACATCAGGCTTAAAGATGGCGTGTAATTATGCCAAGATTGGTGGTAGGTCAGAAGTTTGGACAGGACATAAAAAGCAGCAAAAAAAAATGATTAAAAGGTTTAAGAGGATGAAAAATTAAAGTATGAAGGAAAGCTAGCTAGAATTATAAAATCTGAAAGTAGAAGTTTTTAAAGATACTTAAGAAAGAAGAGTGTTAACAAAATGAGTGCTGGTCCTATAGAAAGTGGGCCTGGGGAATTAATGAAAAATAAGGAGATGACAAACGAATTGAACTATTTTGCACCAGTCTTCACTATGGGGGATACCAGTAACATCCCCAAAATAGTTGTAAATTAGGAAGTGAAAGGGAGGGAGGAAGTCAAGAAAATTACATTCAGCAGGGAAGTATAGGGTGCAAATTGTTGGAGCTGTGCACTGACAAGTTCCTAAGTCCCAACAGACTTCACCCTAGGTTCATAAAAGAAATGCCTAGTGAGATAGTTGGTTATAATTTTCCAAATTTGCCTAGATTGAGGGAAGGTTCCATCAATTGGAAAATAACAAATGTAACTCCTTTATTCAAAAAAGGAGGGAGGCATAAAGCAGGAAACTACAAACCAATTAGCTTAATAACTGTCAAAATGAAGATGTTAGAAACTATTATTAAAGATGTTATTTCAGCTCACTTAGATAAGTTCAAGGTCATCAGACATGGTTCTGTGAAAGGGAAATCATATTTAAGCAGTTTATTGGAGTTCTTTGCTGTGAATAACGTGGAATTGGTGGATGCACTACATTTAGATTTCTAAAAGGCATTTGATAAAGTGCCACAGTAAAAGCTCATAGTGTAATGGGCGTGGAGGAAGATCAACAGGAAACAGATTAGGGATAAATGAATCATTTTCTGTTTGCAAGATGTAATGTTTTGAGTGCCACAGAGTACATTGCTGAGTCCTCAATTTTATTTACAAATTATTTAAATAAATTGGCTGAAGGAACCAAAGATATAGTTGCTAATTTTGCTGATGACACAATGATGGGTAAGAAAATAAGTTGCATAGAGGATATAAAAAGGTTTGAAAATGATATAGATAGATTAAGTAAGTGAACAAAGATCTGGCAAATGGAGTATAATGGGATAAAATGTCCAATTGACCATTTTGGGAGGAGTAACAAAAAAGCCTATTATCTAAATGGTGAGAAATTGCAACGCTTTGAGATGTAGGGGAATCTGCATGTCCCATTGCATGAAGCGCAAAAGGTTAGTACACACTTCGTCAAATAATGATGAAAACTAATAGAATATTATCATCTAGTGCAAGGGGGATTAAGTACAAAAGTAGAGAGGTTTTGCTTCAGTTTTGTAGGGTATTGGTGAGACTACGTCTGGAGTACTCTGTACATATTTCAATTTTTTTTATTCACTTATGGGACACGAGTGTCACTGACTGACCAGCACTTATTGCCCACACCTAACTGCTCTTAAAAAGGTGGTGGTAAGCTGCCTTCTTGAACTGCTACAGTCCATATCTGGTGGGTAGACCCATTATGTCCTTATTCAGAAGTCACACGTCATGAGGTTATAATCCAACAGGTTTATTTAAAGTCATAAGCTTTCAGAGCACTGCTCCTTCATCAGGTGAAGTGATGCGCTTAGGGAAGGAATTCCAGGATTTTGACCCAGTGAAGGAATTGTGATATATTTCTAAGTCAGGATGGTGATTGGCTTGGAGGGGAACTTGAAGATAGTGGTGTTACCATGTATCTTCTGTCCTTGCCCTTCTAGATGGAAGAAGCCATGGGTTTGGTAGGGGTTTTCTAAAGATCTTTGGTGATCTTCAGCAGTGCATCTTGTAGCCAATTCAGTTCACTCCACGTGATATCAAGAAACAGTTGGAGGCACTGGATACTGCTTAGGCTATGGGCCCTGATAATATTGCAACAATGTTACTGAAGAACTGTGCTCCAGAACTTGACACACCTATAGCCACTTCTTCTACTACTGTGCATCGGTGGTGGTTGGAGTGGATGTTTGTGGATGTGGTGACAATCAAATGGGCTGCTTTGTCCTGGATGGTGTGAGATTTCTTGACTGTTGCTAGAGCTGCAGTCCTCCTGAGAAATATTCCATCACATTCCTTACTAATGCTTTGTAGAGGCTTTGGGGAGTCAGGAGGTGAGGTGCTTGCCACAGTATTCCTAGCCTCTGACCTGTTCTTGTAACCACGGCATTTATATGATTAGTCCAGGTGAGTTTCTGGTCAGTGGTATCCTCTGGGGATTCAGTTCATGTCAAGGGGCAGTGGTTAGATTGTTTCATATTGGAGATGGTCATTGCCTGGCATTTGAGTTGCATGCATGTTACTTGCTACTTTGTCATCCCAAGACTAAATGTTGTCCGGCTCCTGCTGCATTTGAACATGATCTGCTTCAGTACCTGGGGAGTCGTGAATGGTGCTGAACATTGTGCAGTCATTGGCGAACATCCCCACCTCTGAACTTGGGTTGTAGGGAAGATCATTAATAAAGCAGCTGAAGATGGTTGGGCTGAGGACGCAATTCTGAGGATCTCCCGCAGAGATGTTCCGGAGCTTTAGATGACTGACCTCCAACAACCACGGCCATTTTCCTGTGTACCAGGTACAACTTCAACCTGCAAACAGAGAGTTTGCCCCTGATTCCCATTGATTCCAGTTTTGCTAGGGCTTCTTGATGCCAAGGGCTGTCACTCTCACCTCAGCTCTGGAACTCAGCTCTTTTGTCCATGTTTAAACCAAGGCTGTAATGAGGCCAGGAGCTGTGTGGCCCTGGCAGAACCTAAACTGGGCATCACTGAGCAGGTTATTGACACTGTTGATAACACCTTCAATCACTTCGCTGATGTTTGAGAGTAGACTGATAGGGCAGTAACTGGCCAGGTTGGATTTGTCCTGCTTTTGTGTACAGGACTTACCTGGGTAATTGTCCACATTTTTGGGTTGATGCCAGTATTGTAGCTTGGCTATAGCTGTGTCAAGTTCTGGAGCACAATTCTTCAGTAACATTGTTGCAATATTATCAGGGCCCATAGCCTAAGCAGTATCCAGTGCCTCCAACTGTTTCTTGATATCACGTGGAGTGAACTGAATTGGCTGAAGGCTGTCATCTGGGATGCAGGAGACCACTGAAGGACTAATGGTTGAAATGCATTGTAAACAGTTCAGAGTAAGTTTATTAGACTAATAACTGGAATGAACAGGTTAGCTTACGAAGAAGTATTGGACAGGCTGGACTTGTATCAACTGGAGTTTAGAAGGGTGAGAGATAATTGATTGAAACATGTAAGATTGTGAGGAGTCTTGACTGGGTAGATGCAGAAAGAATGATTCTTTTGTGGGAGAATTTGGAATTAGAGGGTTGCTGTTTCAAATTAAGGGGATGCCTATTGAAGCCAGTTGTTTTTCTCTTAGAAGACCAACAGTCTTAGGAATTCTTGTCCTTAAATGGCAGTGGAAGCAGAATATTTTTAAGCAGAGCTAGATAGATTCTGATAAGCAAGGAGTTGTAAGGTTCCCAGGGGTGGACAGGAATGTGAAGCCATCAGAGCAGCCAAGGTCTCACTGAATATTGAAGCAGGTTTGATGGTCCAAGTGCCTGCTCGTAACGTGTACGTTTATATGTAACTCCATTCTATTCCTTTTTAAATGGCTAAACCATTGTAATTCTGAAACACTGTCTGAATTGTAAATTATAAACTTGTACACTAGATCCAATTTTGGAACAAGTAAAGGCACCAATTTTTAAGATGATGAGTTCGGAGCATTCCAGAACAGTTGCTGCTGATTATACTTGATGTTCATTAACCTACTCCCTCCTCAGACTTGCAGACATTTTTCTGTACCCTGTAGCTAAGGAGGGAACTTCAAGTGAGCTATTTAAATTTGACTTTCTACATTAAGCAATTCCAATGTAAGGTTAAAAATACATGTGATGATTGTTTGTGACCACAACAGCGTAACATGCTATGATGTAAAGTAGCTGAATAGAGTTTTATAGTTCTGATGCATCATTAGATTCTTTGCTGTGTAATTCATGGCTGCTGCTTGTTCTGGGCTTGTGGTTTTTCTCTGTTATTAAAAGTATGACTAATCTGTGCAGGGGAAATACTTTGAAATCCAGTTTAGCCCAGGTGGGGAGCCAGATGGTGGAAAAATCTCCAATTTCCTACTGGAAAAATCCCGGGTTGTTACACGGAATCCTGGAGAACGAAGCTTCCATATTTTTTACCAGGTTAGTAAAAAGGCTGTTCTCCTTTCACAAGAAAGAAAGCATTTGACTGAAATGATGGATGATCTAGGGGAGGGAGAGGAGCTGACATCTCATTCATACCTGCTGTATTAATAGGGGAAATTGCCAGAATGCAGCTAGCTATGTTTAAGGGTGCTTATTGACACCTATGAAGACCCTACAACTAGTTACTGGTGTGATTCAAATTCATTTATTTACAGGTATTCAGTACATTAGAAATGTAGCTGGAACATTTTAAAAATAAATATACTTGATCCACTTTTCACTGCTAATTAAATATATTTTTGCACAATGAAAATTCTGAAAAAGTTCTGAACTTTCTGCAGATAGAGTACAATGTGAAGAGCAGTGAGGTTACTCACTTTGAAAGTATGAATAGGGACAGAATTAGGCCATTCAGCCCATCAGGCCTGCACACCACTCAATGGAATCATGGCTGATTGAACACTTCAGTATTTTACCCATTCTATCACCATAACCAGAAGTAAAGAAGCAGATTTTTTTAAAAGTGTGTGGAACTTGTAAACATTGATGTTAAAAGATCCTTGGATGTACTCCAGCAAAGAACACAGAAAATTAACCTGCAGGTATAGCAAGCAATTAAAATGACGTGCTACTCTTTATTGCAAGAGTATTGGACAATAAGAATAAGGAGGTCTTGCTGCAATTGTCAGACTGCACCTGGAATGCTGTGCGCAGTCTTGGTCTCCATATTTAAAGAAGGATATGCTTGTATTGGAGACAGCACAGCAAAGGTTCACTACATTGCTTCCTAGGTGGAGAAGGTTTTCCAATGATGAGAGATCAAATAACTTGTGGTTATGCTTACTGGAGTTTAGAAGAATGGACGATTATCTCATTGGAATATACAGTATTCTGAAGAGGCTTAATAGGGTTTCCCCTAGGTTGGGAATCTGGAACACGGCTGCACAGTCAATTCAAGGGTTGATTATTTAGGACAGAGACCAGGAGAAACTTCTTTATTCAAAGGATTGTAAATATTTACTCCAGGAAGTTGTGAATGCTCCATTGTTGAGTATATTTATGGCTGATATAGACAGATTGTTTGGCCTTTCAAATGATATTGGGAGTGGGCAGGAAATTGGAGTTGAAACTCAAGATCAGCTATGACAGTATTAAATGACAGGACTTGTACTCCTACTCCCATTTCTTATTCATAATCATTTATAAATGTGGAATTGGATGCCAAAAGCAAAAGTGTTCTTTGTCTCATGTATCTCATTTAAACAGTTTTGTTTGTTTTGTTCCAAATGGAGTTTGTTCTGTTAATATTCCAGTTGTAGCCACATTGTGTGTAATTATGTAGCTAGAATTGACACATTTTAACTTTGGTTAAAAGTAAGCCTGTTCTACTCACTGACCAATTATATGTCTCTTCCAGCTCATTGAGGGTGCATCTGCAGACCAAAAGTCTAACCTGGGAATCACTAATCTGGACTACTATTTTTACCTCAATCAATCTGGTTCCTACAAAGTGGATGACATTAATGATCGGAAGGATTTTCAGGAAACATTGGTGAGGTTTTATTCTTGTTTCACAGAACCAATCATCTCACATTTACTTGATTTAAAGCATCTGTCTGCGTAGTCATGGACTTGGTGGCTAAATGCACCACATGGTGCTTCCCAGTGCCCTGCAGACTGATATTCACCAGGCTCTGTCTGAGTTGATTTCTTTACATCTTGGTGTCCATTGTTGGCAAAGCGTTTTCCCTTTTTATTATTTGAAGGGTCAGTTGGACAAAGCACACAACACTCTTCCAGGCTTGACAAAGCCAACTGTTGAATCTCTTGATTCTTCTACAAGATAGTTATACTATTCAGTCATTTTTTACAAAATAAATGACTGCTAAGCATTCTTCGCATGTGAGCTGTTCTGCTAATACATTTAACATAAATTATAAAGCAGCAGAGACCAATGATTATCCAAATCATGTGCCTCATCAGATAGGTTTCGTCAGCAACTTAAGGAGTCAATCTGTTTTGCATGCACGGACATCACTTAATTTTAAATGATTATTTATTTGCAGCACGCTATGAATGTGATTGGAATCTTTGCTGATGAACAGGCGATGGTTTTACAGATTGTGGCTGGTGTACTTCACATGGGGAACCTCAGTTTTAAAGAGGTTGGCAACTATGCTGCTGTAGAAAGTGAAGAATGTAAGTACTTTGTTTCTGGAGTCTCAGCATGTTACTAGTCAAGATGCAATGGTTCATTTTTATAAGACCCAAGTTGGTGTACTGTGTACAGTTCTGGGCTCCAACCACTAGAAAGAATATTAAGAACAAGGAGGGCAGCACAGATTCACCCAGTTGCTGCCCAATATGAAGAAAAGCCTGGAAATATTGGTTCAAAATAGGTTGTGGAGCATTTGACAGTAAGGCAAATGTTTGATGAGGGAAAAAAGAATAAATAAGTCAAGATAGATAGGAGCAGACTATTTCCACCGGTTATTTCTGGGACATTTCTATAGACCAAAGGAGGAGGTAAGCTTTCTATCCAGTGAGGAATGTATCAACCAAGTTAACAATTGAACCAGAAACGACAAGGACATTTAAGACTAGTTTTTATTAGTTTATTCATGGAAATGGGATAGAAGCCTGGCAATTGGGATTAGCCTCACTGCTTGTGTGGGGGTAACTGCCATCATGAAACTGGCAGGGCCAAACAGCCCAATCCTGTAAAATCTAAGCAAACATCAGTATAACCATCAGACTTTTCCAAATTTAACTCTGTTGCACCTACATTCTTGGAAGTGTTCATATATACTTATCCTGCTGTTTGCTCATTCTTACTTCCATTCAGTCTCACCACACGTGACACACTGCTCAGTGTGTCATTGGCCTATCTAGGCACACCATGACAATGACGCAATGTCATTCTCATCCCCATGCCAAACACTGAAGTAGATTTTGACTTTGGCTGATATCAAGTTAGCAGCCTGTTATACATCTTTTCTGACTGTCATTTCCAATGATCCTAATGAGGAGGGATGAGAGACAGCTGCTAATTCATTACAACCACACTTACATTCTTGTGCAATGTCAGGAATGATCCAACAGAGTAAAAGATAGGTATTAGGATTGTGATTTCAGTAGCAAGCAAGTTTTCATTTGAAAAATGAGCAGGTTTGTTGGATCTCATTGGGCTTTTTGGTTCCTAAATAAATCTTTGCTCATTGCAAGCAGTGATTTGAAACAGTTCTCTCTGTTGAAGTCTTGTAATTGTTATTCAATCTATTTCTCAACAGTGAGGTAAAATTTCGTCTCGCTGGAATGAAAATCAGATGGGTTCTATAAAAGCTGATTGACACCCCACAGTCATTGCCCAAGTGCTATAAGTTTAAAATTTACTCCAGTGTATCAAAATTAAAATTGGAGTTTCTTCTAAAGATGTGGAAAGACTGGTGTTTCATTTTACTGTTTCATTTACCTCACAATGCAGTACTAAAAATAAATATATGCCCGTTCTAAAAATAAATATATGCTTTGCAACAATAAACAGGAGTTCAGATGGCTACTGTCAGATTTTTACACTGAACTTTCTTTCTTTCCTCAGGAAGTGTTTGATTTCCTGTTTCTTTCTCTTGTGCACCATTTTCCCTTGTTCCTGCACATAGCCATATTCTGTTCCATCTTGGACAATTTTACAGCATTCCCTAATTATGGATGGTTTATTTTACTCTGGGATTGTAGTGCCTGCCTGTAGCAGTCTGCATCCTGTTCTGAAACATCTGTGCCTGTTGCAGCTGCCAAAACCCACCAACTGCATTTTAATTTGAAACAGAGCTCCTTCAATTGACTGCAGCCATCTTGTGACCATACTGTGACCCGAATTCACCATCGCTGAGAAATTTCTCTTTAAATTTCCAATGGTGTGAATTCCCAGAGCTCCTGACAGATTCCCAGAAACTGGATGCCTCTGGTTGATCTGTAATGATTAATTTCAGGAAGATTGAAGGATGGTTTTGAATGCTAAGGCTACAAGAAGGATCTGATTTCTTTAGGGATTGTGTTTACATTCACCTCTCTTGAAACCATTGACTCAGAGCTAAAGCACCACCAGGGCCAGCAAGCCTCCACAGAATGTTTGTTTCCTCAAAGTTTCCCCAAACGAAGTAGCAAATACATTCTAGGGTGATTCATACACTACTTAATTGACTCTGGTTTTTTTTTATGCATTGTTGGAGGGAGGTTCTCCTCACATTTCTGTACCTCTCAGGATGACTTAGGCAACATTGGCAACACATGCCCTGGGACAGCAGAAATACTAGTCTCCTTGCTTGCTCATTAACATTGTGGAACAGCTGATTATCAGCCGTCTGGATGAACTGGCCAGTTTACGTCCCATCATCTTTAACAGGGTGAAAATCAAACCATTTCTACAACTGGCAAGCTGTCTGACGAGTAGTAAAGATAAAAACAGTGCCTGTTGTGTAGAGCATCAACACTCATTGTCCCCAAATCCTTGCAGTATATTTATTGTGTCAGCTGTGATGCAGTGGCAATTCTGTTTTGTTTCTGAGATGGAAATTCAAGTCCTCCTCCAGAGACTTGAGCACAAAGTCTAGGCTTACCAGTGCAGTACAGAAGGACAGAACTGAAGGGTTGTCCACAATGTTTTCATCAATATTTATCCATCGACCGTCATCACTAAGACAGAATAACCAGTCATTATCAGCTTGCTGTTTATTGGATCTTACTGTGTACAAGTTGCTTGGTATCATTCCTATATTTCACAGTGGCTACACTTCAGTAGTACTTAATTGGCTTCAAAATAGTTTGAGATCATATGTAAAATGGACTGTATAAATGTAAGTTCTTTCTCTTGGTGTTAATGAAATGTTTTCTTTAACACAGTGCACCATTACAGACTCGCTGCACACCTGGATTTTCAACATAATACAACTGCATTTAATTCCTGAGTGGCTTCAATCCAAAGCCAAATTGAACTCCTACAATTCATTTAATGAACAACTTGTGAAGTGGTCCTTTAAAAGGCAGAGTGCTGTAGTCCAGCACTGTGTGCATGCTGCTTCTGCAGTGTGTGAATACTAATCACTCCTCAGTAATTAAGTTCATCTGCAACTGAAAGTCAGGAACTTTGAAATATTGCAGTAATTGTGGGCAGGTATTTCCAGAGCTTGATGAGCCTCAAGATTGTCCAAATAACATAATTATAAGAACTGTAGCTCTGGCAAGGTGGCATCAATGCGATTGTGATTGTTGGAGAGAGAGAGAGAGACTTAGCACGTCTGGCAACATTTGTGGAGAGAAAGACAAGTTAACGTTTTGAGTCCAATTTGTCTTCTTCAGAACTGAACAGCCCTGAAAAAGTGATGCATTTTAGACATTTTCAGATGGAATGAGCGATATGATTTAGTGCCATTCTCCTGCCTTTTCCTGTAGTCTTGAATTTTCTCTAAATATTTTTCTAAGGCTCTCTTGAATTTCCTCCAACTGTTTGCTTGCTTTACTGGATGGCACTGGCTAAAGGGGAGCGCAGAAGCCCACTAGAGTAGCTAGCTTTCCAGAATTGACTTGCAGTCTCCAGGAATTGGAGATAGCAGTGTTCTAGGGGACTGTGTGCAACCCTGGAGAAAAATCATAGAGACTTTAAAAAATGTTTTCCTTATCATTTTTTTGGATGTTACTCTTTACTGGATAGAATAATATTGAAAATGGGGAAGAAAGGCTGTTTAGCTGACAATAAAGCATTATCCAATGGGTAATGAGTTCTTCTGTTTTCCAATTGGTGGAGGAAAGCAGTGTATCACAAGGATGGATGTGTGGATGAACTAATGGCTAGAGGGTGGGTCATGTGATGCTGAGTAGGGCAAGTCATGTGATGAAACCTCCAGGAATCTAGTGATCGCAGTTTACAATGCTATAGCCCGCTAGTATCTCATCCATATTGTTTGTCATATATGAGTCTATGTATGAGTGTAAGCCTCACCCAAAGCCCATACATAGCTAATGTCTAGACTGGAGCAATGGACCTTGAGGCCTCATGCACGTTCTCTACCCCAGTCTCAGCAAGATATTTCATGCTCATTCAGATCAAGCATTAACTTCCACACCAACCACTGCATATACATGCATTGGCCCATCATGGAGTTGTGCTCTTGCAGCTCACATTACATTTTAGTTCTTTCCTTATTTATATTCTTTATGAATAATTGGTTAGGACCCAGCTGGTTTATTGTGCCCAAGTCTGTGCACCACTATTTAGGATTGATGTCAAGGCTTTTGAGAGGAGGAGGTTTACTGGAATAGTTCCAGCAACGATGGACTTCTGCTAAGTAGAGAGACCAATAAAGCTAGGATTGTTGTCCTCAGAACAGAGAAGGATAGTTGAACTTTAATATAGATATACAGAACTAGGAAGGGTTTTGATAGAATCAATAAGTAACTGTTTCCATTGGCATGATGGTCAGTAATCAGAAGGTTCAGGTTTAAAGTAATTGGCAAAAGAGTAAACAGAAAATTATTTAATGCATTGCGTTAGATTGATTGGAATTTACGGCCTGAAATAGTATGAGAAGCAGATTTAATAGTAATTTTCAACAAGGAGCTAAATATATAATTGAGAAGGAAAAATGTGCAAAACTTTATGGAAAGTTAGAGGAGTGGGACAAATTCAATAATTCATTTCACAGACCTAGAACAGGAACAATGGGCTGAAAGGTCTGCTTATGTGCTGAATTCTATGAATTCCAGAGACATCTAACACAATGTGTTATTAAGAAAACGTTTCCCGTTTTCCTGAATTCACCATTTTGCCTGCAAGAGTACTCTGAAGGATGGAACTTTCAAGAGCTTAAATTGCTTATCTTTATGTCCTCTCACTAATCAAGTATGAATGTTAATATAAACGCTTTGAACAAGCTAACACCTCCAGTAAAACAGTGTGTTGGATCATGTGATGGTTGAAGTTGCATGAAGTAAATCCACCCAATCTGACAGGCTTTGGTTGGAGACAGGGAGTTCCACTTCAGCCTTCGTGGAGAGCAGACATATTCTGTACAACTTGCGAGAGTCCCTGTTAATTATGATTAGTAATATAAACTTTAGTTATTGCTATCATGCAATAAACTATCTTGTTAACTAAGACAACTTTGGGGACTTTTGGGAACTTTGAGAACTTTGGGGCATTTAAGCGGCTATTAGATAGGCATATGGATGATAGTATAAGGTAGGGGTGGAGGTTAGATAGACCTTAGGATTAGGGTAAAAGTTCGGCACAACATTGTGGGCCAAAGGGCCTGTACTGTGCTGTACTATTCTATGTTCTATGTTCTAAGACAAGTGCTTCTTCTGTTTAGACTTACCGGTAGTTTATCATCTAGCACTGACCATTATTGATTGATTTTATTGTCACGTGTACCAAAGTACAGTGAAAAGCTTTGTTTACAAGCAGTACAGGCAGATCATAGTAGGCATGGATGTACAGATCAAAGGTTGTGAAAAAACTTAGACAGAGGCACACAGTTACATTGCACAGTGTGTGCGTTAGGCGAGATCAACGTTAGCAAGATCAGCGTTATCTGAGGCTAAAGGGTCCATTCATCAGTCAAATATCGGCCAGGAAGAAGCTGCTACTGAACCTGTTGGTGTGTGTGTTCAAGCTTCTGTATCTTCTCCCTGATGGAACAGGTTGTAGGAGATCACTACCAGGGTGCGATGGGTCTTTGATGATGTTGGAAGCCTTTCTGTGGCAGCGAGCCATGTAAATGGAGTTCAGGGATGGATGGTCGGCTCCCATGATGGTCTGGGCTGTGCACACAATCTTCTGTAGTGTCTTACAGTCCTGGGCAGAGCAGTTGCCATACCAGGCCGTTATGCACCAGGACAGTATGCTTTAAATGGTACATCTGTAGAAGTTGGTGAGGAACCTTATGGACATGCCAAATTTCCTGAACCGCCTGAGGAAGAGGAGGCGCTGTCATGCCTTCTTGACCGTCGCATCCACATGGGAAGTCCAAGACAGGTCATTGGTTATCATCACTCCGAGGAAATTGACGCTCTCCACCCTCTCAACCTCAATTCCGCTGATTTGATGGGGGCGTGTTCTCCTCTGTTCTAAAGTAAACGATCAGTTCTTTAGTTTTGCCGACGTTGAAAGAGAGGTTGTTCTAACTGCACCACATCACCCAGCCCTCTATCTCCCTTCTGTATTTTGAGTCGTCGTTGTTAGATACCCGTTCTACTACGGTGGTGTTGTCAGTGAACTTGGGGATGGTGTTCATTCGGAATTTGTCAACACAGTTGTAGGTGCACAGGGAGTACAGTGGGGAGCTGAGGACACTTCCTTGGGGGCCTCCAGCGTTGACTGTTATCGTGGAGGAGGTGCAGTTGTCTGTCTTCACTAATTGCGATCTGTGGGGCAGAAAGCTGAGGATTCAGTTGCAGACGGTGGAGCTGAGACCAAGGTCAGGAGTTTTGAGATCAATCTAGAGGGGATAATGGTGTTGAAGGAAAAGTTGTAGTCAATGAACAGTATAATCAAAGGAGAATTGGTGGCAGCAAACTATTTCAAACAGCCATTGTCTTGTGCCACCCACTGGCACAAACACTTTGGGCTTTTGTATGGCAGCATATCATTTCATTTTAGGCTATATATATGCTGTCAATAGTTGAGTTTTTCTAAAAAAAAATTAGCTAAATCATATCATTGTAAAAGAAAGCACAGTAAAATATCTCTGTAAAAAAGATTGTAAGTCTTGCCCTTGCAGTATTCTTATCAATTAAGACTTTAGAATAAAGTTCTGCATCACTTGATAAAACAGGTATTTGCCTTCATTTTTTGTAAATCCATAAATGAAGACTTGTATTTGCAAAGGAGCCAAGACTCTCATATACATAAGATGATCAAAACTCCTTTACTGAACAAATAAATGACTCTGATTATTTATCTCACAGTTCTGGCATTCCCAGCTTTCCTACTTGGTATTGATCAAGAACGATTAAAGGAAAAATTGACCAGCCGGAAAATGGACAGCAAATGGGGAGGAAGGTCTGAAAGCATTAATGTGACATTAAATGTGGAGCAGGCATGTTACACAAGGGATGCACTTTCCAAGGCTCTTCATGCACGCATTTTTGACTATTTGGTAGATGTAAGTACAGCTGGGCACTTTGCTTCTGCACAAAGGCTGTTGTGGTTATTCTGTTAAATATTTGAAGGGGCAGTACCCAGCAGGTTGCCTATAGTCATGGATCTACATTGTTTTTCAGTGGGGCTCAGGGAGCTGCCTTAGGACATCTTTGCTGATCTAACCAGCAGATTGTGAAAAGGGTGCTTGAAAAGTTGGATGAACGTTGGACGATAAACACAATAGCACAGTTTCTCACAATGCATTTGTTACTAAAGCATTTGTGACTAAAGCATTTGTGAGAGCATTTGTTTCACATAGACCCTAACGAAGTCTTCTAAGCAAAGGGATTACCTTAAATTGGCCTTCCTCTTTAATTGAATCCCACAGACTGATTGAAGTGCTTTTTACTGAACTGCATTGTTTTGTATTTTCTTTGCCTCCATTGCAGATGTTTTTTGCCACATGTGCTCTGTTGTTGCTGTCACAGCAGTCAGCTTGTTTGACAGTGGTATGAAAAAAACACTTCTCCCTTAATTAAATTATCTCATGTACCAAGTTTCTCATTGTTACAGCATTAAAAAAATACTCAATAGAAGCAACATAGAGGATGCAATGAGCTATCAGGCTGCTCCAATTCAATGTTTTAGATCTAATTCTGAATCTAACATATTAAGCCATTAAAACTAGCAGTTATGGAGCATTTGTCATTGACTAAAAATAAATAAAATGCAGAGTATTGCTTGAAAATACACATATACAACTTCCTGTAAACAAGTAACCATTTGATTAAAAGCATCCAAATCCAATTCTCTTCAATATGTGAGGTCTTCTACTTGTCAAGGTGAGGATTATGAGTTTGTAAGAAATGGAATATCTTTGCTACCTGCTCATCAGTTAAGGTGAGCTGTTGGATATAGCGTACTGCTGTTTTCTCATCTGCACCTTAAGAGTGTGGGCTTTCACAGGGTATCTCATCCAAGCAGTCACTCTTCAGGCATGAGCCGAGACCACAAGTGCCAAACAGCTGTTGAGTGAGGAAAATGGGGAAGAGTGGTCGGGTTCAATCTTCTACTTGAGGGGCACTGGAGTCAACTGCAGCACTTGGATCCATAACCCTGCAGAGATCAGCCAACTCCCAACTTGTACAACTTGAATGCTGCACCAAATGATGCCTTTGCTCATAGACAGTTGGGATAGATTCTCCTTTCTCTAATCCTGCTGAATGATTTTTTGGAAAATATTTGTCAAATTTTCTTTTGGCAAGGTGGAAAGATTGATGGAAGTAAGCTCTCTAACTTATTGGCCAACTTTTCTATTATTTTACTTTGTGTCCCTCTTTTGACCTTGTGAAACTCATCTGTACAGAAGGAGTCAGCTGAAGGTAGGAAATTGTTCAGGGGTTGCTCATGTTTCCTGTACTGAAGCATTTCAAACTGATCTGTGCTCAAGATGATACAATGCAGCAAGGATCCATTCCAGCACGGACTCCACCCACTCATGCAAGTATTTTAAAAGCATCAATAGCTCTTTGGGTAAATGCTCTGCCAAATGAATTGTGCAGATTAGTAAGATTTTCGGTTCATTTGCAGGCATTTTGTGAGTGAGCTGATTCCCATTGTACAAACAGTCAGAGAAATGCCTCCTGACTGCTGTTACTATGGGCCCCACTCCTGCAAAAGTGTGTTTTCTTCAGGAGAAAACAAGGTTGTGATTGGCTGTGATGTCCCTTACAGTTCAATGGTCTAATGCTGCTGTCTGCATTGGCTGAGATTCACAGATGATAGGTACTTGGGTTTAAGGTTTCTTGTATCTTTAGATCTGTACAGCACTAAGGACAAAAAGATCTGCGGGAAAGGGAAGACAATTGTACTGATTTCTCATGAGTATTTCTTATCTCATATTTTTCTGCTGATAACCTAGTTCCTTGTTGCTGTGAATTCAGGGTTGCTTTAGGATAGCATCAATGTTGACTGTTTCAAACCAAAAACATTTATATTGCAAGATCACTAACAAAAAGATGTCAGTCATTTTGTTAAAATTTTTCATGGTTTTACTATATTCTTAATATGATTTTATTATTAAGTTGGCAGAGGGGCCATAAAGGGCCATTGCAGATAAGCTTTTATTATAATTACAACGGGTTTGAAATTGAACCATGTAATGTCTGTACATTTGCATTGAAATTCCATTCTATGCTGTAATATTGAAGACATTTTTATTAATACCAAACATGAGAAATTTCACGTCAAAGTGATAACTAAATTGTGCAGCTACACTTTAACACCAAAATATTTTTCCACAACGTGTGTAATCACAGATATTTTGTATTTTTTCCAGTCTATTAACAAAGCCATGGAGAAAGACCACGAGGAGTACAACATTGGAGTTCTAGATATTTATGGCTTCGAGATTTTTCAAGTATGGCTTTAGTTTACTTTGCTTCAGTGCAATTTATTTTCACACTTCTGTTCAAGTAAATTTAAACATGAAATACAGTATTTAGAACAAAACTACCCCGAGTAACTTTGAATTCTTCTTGGAGAATCTCAAAATCCTTTAATTCCATGTGTTCAGTAAGTACTTTTATCCAGCTAGTAATTTTGAATGTCAATAAAAGTTTGTGTTTTCTCTTGAGTAGAAACTATTAATGTTATTAATAGGGGGATACTGCAGCCTAGATGCTCACCATCTTGGAGAGCCTCTCCTGATCCTGCGAAAGTAGGAAGTGCCATGTTTATGAGCTGGATTTTCAATTTCCAGCCAATTCTGAAATTTTCACCATATTACAGCATCCTGTAAACCATTATAGGATTTGTGCTGCATGTCTGATTTCCCAGTCAATCATTTTCAAAGTGGGGTGCCTGTTAAGTGAGTGGTTTGATGAACAACTCCCATTCTTACAGAATAGAAATGTTTGAGTTCATACAAGTTTAGTGAAAAAAATTTCACCATGTTTTGAATCTTTTTGGATAAATCAGATTGTCTTTCAATAACTATCAATAGCCAGCTAATTCATTGTTTTGCAGACGTTTCATTACCCTACTGGGTAACATCATCGGTGCAGCCTCCGATGAAGCGCTGTTGTGTTTTCCCGCCTGTTATTTGAACTGTGGTATCCGTCGGCTGGATTGCTTCACTTCCGGTTTTCCTTCACAGTGGAGTGTATATGGGGTCGAGCTCTATGTGTTTATTGATGGCTTACTTAGTGAAGAACCAGGCCTCTAGAATTCCCATGCTTGTCTCTGCTTTGCTTGTCGCATGATCCTGGTGTTGACCCAGTCAAATTGGTGGTTCTCCTTATCCATGTGGATAGAGATGAGTGAGTATTGGTCACGTCTTTTTGTACCCTTGGGCATCAGAGTAGCACACAAAGCCACATCAACCCTTCGCCAACTGCTCACCCAAACCAAAGACCCACTACCCACTATGGACAGGACCAGTGTCATATACAAGATTCCTTGCAGAGACTGTGACAAACACTACATTGGACAAACAGGAAGGAAATTAACCAGAAGGGTACATGAACATCAATTGGCAACAAAAGGACACGACCACTACTCACTCATCTCTATCCAAAGAGATAAGGAGATGGATAAGGAGAACCACCAATTCGATTGGGACAACACCAGGATCCTGGGACAAGCAAAGCAGAGACAAGCACGGGAATTCCATAAGAAAGCCATCAACAAACACATAGAGCTTGATCCCATATACACTCCACTGCGAAGGAAAACAGGAAGTGAGGTAATCCAGCCCAACGGGCACCAGAGTTCAAATAACAGGCTTGGCGAGCGAACCAACCACAACATCCACAACCCGAGCTACAAATCTACTCTAAAACCTTAAATAGCCAACTAACTTTATTTTATATCAGCATGGCTCCTAAGGTCTGCCTACTTTGGATCCATGGGAGAATGAAGAGCAAAGGGTGATTTGTGGGGCATGGGTTAACATGAGTTGACATTAAGTTGGTACAGTAGCTATAAAGGACACTGCAGTTAAGTGGCAGACATGGGTTGGCATAATGAGGTTGAACACAGGAGCAAAGGGGCTTTAGGTGGCATTGGGATTATGAGGATGGGTAGAGGGACATATGTTGGTAAAGAGGGTATGAGGCATAATGGAGGTGTGTACAGAGGCATAGGGTGGCATGGAGGGTTAAGGAATATTGGAGGTGTGTGCAGAGTTTAGGTGGAATGAGTTAACAGGGATGGGGTGTAGTGAGATCGTGTGGGAATAACAGGCCATGAGGGCTAAAGGGCTATCTTTGGCTTTATTAGTTTTTGTTTATTAATCTTCAACAGTGACGCTGTAGTGAGGGTCCAGCCCACATCCAGGTCAACAGCCTCTGCTTGCATTCCAGGGTTACCCGACCCATCCCTCAAGGAACCCCGCCACTCTGCAATGAAAGTCTAACCTCCCAGGCCGATTTTTCCCACTTTAGGGTTGGAAATGTCCCAAACCAGGATTGAAAATCAGGATCTTAATGTATTTGTAAGATTCCTTTATTCTCCCTTTCTAAAAACTTGGATGTTTCATTTTAAAACTACAGGAGAAACGCTGGACTCAAAATCCGATGTTTGACCAGACTTTATAACTAATACTAATTTCTAAGTTTTACTGAAAGTGTTTGTGTGTTGCTAATGTATCCATTTTCAAGATGTTCCTCTGTGTATCTGTAGAAAAATGGCTTTGAGCAGTTTTGCATCAACTTTGTGAATGAAAAGCTCCAGCAGATATTCATTGAGCTCACTCTGAAAGCTGAACAGGTATGGCTGACTTCTGAAAATTATTTCTGCTGTTGAAGTAGCCCACCACTTAGTTAGCCCCCTTATTTAAATGAATTAGTTGCAGCATCAAGCAGTGGTTCCATCTAACTTATTCATTCTTTATGTAACCCTGCAGAAATATGTCCAAAATATTTGCTTTTTTATGATGGTGCCATAGCAGTTTGGAGATAAGCCCTTGAATTATGTGGCATCATTACAAGCTTGTGAGACTAAATGGCCTGCTTTTGTTTCTGCATTTCTGTTATCTTCTCTGTAACCCTATTTCTTGTAAGGATCCTATTACTGAAATATACTTTTGTTTTGCTTGGGAGCATTGTTGAAACGTGATTGATATTGGAAACTTGGCAAAAGAAAGTTTGATATATTTGTGAAGCTGACCTGACAAATAGGTTATATTACAGCCATTGACAACAAGGTGCAGGGCTGGATGAACACAGCAGGCCAAGCAGCATCATAGGAGCAGAGAGGCTGA